ACCGCAAACCCAAGGGAAAGGTTTAGAAAAAGTTACTCTTTTAAGTTTTTAAATTAAAATTTTACCCTGGTGAGATGATTGATTTGGGAACTACATCCAAAGGCAAGCCCTCTGCTGTCAGCCGTGCGGCCGGGCGCGGTGAGGGAGGGCGGGCGGCTGCGGGGCAAGCCCCTGCCAGCAGAGCCCGGGCCCTTGGCCTGAGCCAGCTCTGCGGCCCCGCACGAGCCCTGCACACCCAGCTGGAGACAGAGGTGACACCGAGAGAGGTGACAAGAGCCAGAGAGCCACTGAGGAGCCAGCCACTAACTGGGGGTGGGGAGAGCCTCGTGATGGCAAAGAGGCCCCCACACCAGCAGCTCTGGGAGCCCCTCCTGCAGCCACCACTTGGAGAAGCGGGTGGTCCTTCTCCCAGAGGATTCCAGAGGTGAGACCTTTGAAAGGAGGCAGCTGGCAGACTCCGTGTGACTGCAAGGGCACACCACCTGGCTTCCAAGCACCTTCCCTGGGACTGGGGTGGAGGAAGGGGTGCTGGCCCAAGGGGAGGATTCTCTGGCCCATCCCTGCTGACTCAGCACCCCGGTCAGCCAGCCCATTCTCACAGACATTAGTTAATTTTATATATTCATATATATTATAGTTATATATTAAAAAGAAAAACTTGCCTGAAGAGAAACTCCTGAAGGACCCAAGTGGCTCAGGAAGTTTACTGTCCCCCCACCCACAAAAACTCTTTTATAAAATCTTCCAGTGCGAACTTCAGGAAACCCCTGCCCGCCCCAGCTCCCCCCTGCCCTGGCCCTCCTGTGTCCCCCACGACCCTGGACCGCCCCCCAGCTCCAGCCCAGCGCCCGGCCGCATCCAGTCTCATCTCTGGCCATCCATCGCAGCCACGGCTTTCTGCTGGGTGCCCCCCTGCTGTGCTCCCGGGGGCCACGTGGGCTGTGGGTGGTGGAGGTGGTGGAAGCTGTGGGCCGTCGGGGAGGAGGGCGGGATCCAGGCAGCCTGGTGGCTAGGTGGGGATGAGGCCCAGAAAGGGCTGAAGTTTGCAGGAGGGGAGCAGGCCACAGCAGTCATGGGGCTGTTGCTGTTCTGCAGACCCTCGGAGGTGCGAAGCTTGGAGAACATGGCCAGCGCGTCAGGGAAGTTGGGCGGCGTGGCAGGTGTGTTGCTGGGGGTGCACATCTGCTGGGAGAGAACGCACGTGTCGGGAGGGCTTCACCCCTGGGCCCCCAATTCCAAGCCATGGTCTGTGATCTCACCAAGCCTTCCTGTGGCGCTCACCCAGACCGGCCCCTCTTTTACCCCCATTTATCCCTCCATAAGCAGTTTCAACAGGACAAAAAGCACCCCTTGCACCCTGAGCCAATAAAAAAAATGGGGACAGATCCTACAATTTCCATCAAAATCACAGTGTTTCCTGATGCTTGGGAATGACGCCCTGAGTGTCAGAGTAAATGGCCAGAAGCTGGGGTGTCAAATTAAAGCAAGGACAGGGGAGCAGCCCAGGACACCACTGCTTAGCACCTCACCCTGGGTACGAAACCAGCTGGCTCCCTCAATAATCCACCCACAGACGAGCCGAGGTTGTCGGTCATGGGAAGGTGGCCAGGTCCAAGGTCTCCCTCCTATGCCAACCTGGGAGAAGTTCCACTTTCTCCCTGCCTGGGTCCCCTGCACGTCACAGTACCAGCCAGCGGGCCTCGGAGCCCCGCCACCATTACCTCACTTCTCACAGGGCTGCGAGGTCATTTTGATTGTTCTCTATTACAGAGGAGGCAACTGAAGCCCCGAGCTCAAGCCACTTGACCAAGGGCCCAAGTCGAGAACCTGGGATTCCAGGGCTCCCAGGTCTGCAGGCCCGAGCTCTTAACCGCTCCCCAGCCACAACTCTGCACTGAGTCAAGTGCCACTTCATGCCTGGGCTCCCGAGGACCAAAAAACAGGGATTTTGGATTCCTGTGTCCCCAGCGTCCTCCCCCAGGCGGGATGCTGGCAGAGTGCCCCAGTCTGCTCAGTCCCTCTCAGCCCTCTTCCTGGGGTAGTTGCAAACATCCCGACATGCTGTCTGCCGCTACCCCGAGCAAGGACCCTCAGCCAGGAAGGGTAGGGGCTGGTTGCTGGCACCCTCCCTGCCAACACCAGGGACCATCGGCCCCCACAACCCTGCAGCAGGCGCGTGCCATCCACCAGCATCTCGACAGGGTGCAGGGAAGAGGTAGCAGAGAACCAGGCCTGCACAAAGCGGGGTCTGACCCGGCAGCAGCTTCTCCCTTTCCCAAGAAGCCCTGGGAGCCCTTCTTTGAATTTCTCCTAATTTTAGCAACACCGGCCCCTCCCCCAGGCACAGGGCTGGGGAGCAAGATTCTAGGGCTCTTCACCTTGCAGGCAGGGAGCTTTCACAGCTCTGCCGTTAGACCCCGGCCAAAAACAGGGACAGGCCCACAGGAGGCGGGGCAGACCCCCTTTCATTAACTGGGCCAGCCTCACAGCAGCAGCTGAGGCGCTCCAACCATTGTCCTCCTCAGGGGAGGCCAGAGGACCCGGAGCAGGCCCGGCCCCACCCAGACCACTTCCCTCCTCCCTTCACTATTCCTCCCCCCCCCCCCACCCAGGGCTGACTTCTCAGCAGCAGGAAACAATGAATGGGGGGTTGGGGGGAGAGGCCAATTTCATCACAGCATCGTGACCGACTTCCCCAGTTCAAGTCAGCGCTGCCTGTCTCCTCAGCAGCCACCCTGCTCCAGAGAATGGCCTAGATCAGGAACAGGCCTGTGCTCACTTGCCTGTGTGAGCTCAGGCAAGTTGCTTAACCTCTCTGGAGCCTCTCTCTACCTCTGTACATCCAGGGGTTTGGACCAGGTGCTATAAAAGCCCCTCCATCTCTGTGCTTCTAACAGCCATGGATAGAGCTTTCCAGCTCCTGAGCATACCCAGTGTACCCTGCACCCTGCTAATGCCCTACTGTTTCTCATCCAGTGTCTTTCTCCTCATCCTGGCCTTTCTAATCCAACCCGGGCGCCCCCCTCATCTGGGAAGATGCCTCCAACTGTGTATGCACAGTAATTATGGAACAAACATCTATCAGTTACTCATGCCCTGGGTCACTTCTGGTATTGCTTTATGCCATTACTGATCTCTGGTGTCTTTTCCTTTGATTTATTATTTCTAAAAAAAAAAATGACCAACTCCTTGAGGGCAGGGATGGTGGTGTTGGCAGTGCTGATGGATACCTGGTGGACTGATGGATATATTGATCGTAATATCAGTTACAAAACCAGCCACTCGTTTTGAGGTAAACTCCAAGAGGATTATAATCCCTTGGGATTTGCAGGGACCCTAAAAGGACCACCGATCACAGCTCTTGGAGGCAAGACTCCCTGTTCAAGGCAGCAGGGTGTGCTGGAAGCCTGGGCCTTCTGAAATGACCACAGTTGGTGGAGCAAACCTCATGGCCCTTTTGAGAGTAGATGGAGGCCCAGACCTGGGAGCCGGAGCTTCCCCTCGGTCAGGTGCAGGGGAGGGTCCCCTGGAGGTGAACCCCCTCTTGGTAGTTTACCAGGAGCCCGGCCTTAGCTGCCACAGCCCTGCAGCCAGCACAATTCCCCCATCATATTCCAACACATTTCTGTTTTTTGACTTATACACAGCATGGGCCATTCCAAGTGAAAAGCTGGTTTAAAAGGTCAAGACAGACCCCTCTCTATTTATCCTTTGCAACTAGATGAAAACAGGGTGTCAAGGACAAGACACAGCAGAGGAACCATTTGCGGCTCCTCTAAGCAAGGCGGCAGCGCTGAGAAGGGAGCCGTGGACAAGGACACCAAGTGCTAAAAATGCCAAAAATGCACTCCGAGAGCCACAGCAGATCTCCTGGGGAAATCATGTTTTACAGCCCCTATCTCAGGGCCCAGCCCCTCCTCCCCCAGCAGGGCTAATAGGTAACTAGAGGGGTAGAGAAGGCATTCAAGCCTCTAAAGTGAGAGGGGTGTCCTGTGACCGTGGAAAGCAGGATACGTTATGGCCAGGAGGGCAAAGGCCCAGGCCTGGGGCCAGCTTGGAAAAGAGAATAAAGCAAATCCAGGCCTGGACCACTGAGCACTGTTTCCTGTGGTTTTTACATTTCTTCACCTACTGAGGTTAAATGCATTCTTGGCTTACCTTGTCAAAAATCTTTAAGTCTTCCACACTCAGGGTATGTCTTTTTCCATGAACAGGAAAGAGAGAACATAACTCTCTGGGTAGAGCCCAGCTCCCAGGCCAGGGTGGATTTATCCCTTTCCTGTTCCCTGTAGAGCTGGGTTGTTGGGGTGGGGGTGGGGAGCCGCCACTCCAACAGGAAGAGGGGGCTCCCCATAAACAGACACCTCAGGTCCCAGTCCCCCAGGGCCCTTCACTCGCGCTCCCAGTTCCCCAGACGTCTAGTTATCATCCGAGCCCCCTCCCCATTCCCTGCCACCTAGCTACTCCTCTGGCCACCCTCGCCCCGCTTCTAGCCCCTGGCCCACGGAGGGGGCCGAGCACAAGGTCTTTGGTCGAGCTACAGCAGTCCAGGAGGCCGGACCA